TCTAATTGGTAGGTAGACTAAATTCATCATAATTTGTGTTTACGGGAAGACGATCATCACAATAAAATTAATCGTTAGTGCCATGCTATTGTTGACTATTGTGGGTCAAAGTCAAGGACTAAAAATTGCACAATATTTTGAAAAATATTCATAAATAATCACTAAGCATAAAATAAAAACCTTCTATAAAGTCGTTTTAGTTATAATTAACAAAAATATTACTGGCATTGAGCTAAATTTAGAAATTTTAAATGGCGACGAATACTTTATTTCTATTTCTTCAAAATTTCTAAAGTTTTTATGGAATATACAATATGTTAGAGACATGATTGAAATTATGTCTGAGAAACATCAAAAAACATATAAAACGACCTAAAATACCAGAACACGTTTAGTTTCAAATTTAAATAGTACTTATTGTAATCGATTTTAGTAATAAATTATAATAATATAGAAGTTAATTATTTTATTTTATTTTTATTCGGAATGGCATGTTACGAATGAGATATCATTCTGCTCAAATATTGTTTAACGCAAAATTATTTAATTTTTAATTACTGTATTGTGATTTGTTTATCTATTTAGAAAATGCCCTGGATGAAAATTTACATAATTATAATTTATAAAATGTATTCGTTTTAATTTATTTTACAATGCTAACCGACAATTATCATGTAAAGATTTAAATAGATTTTTTTGATATGTAATAGAAATATTACTGAATAGTGAAAAATAATTGATTTAATGATGGCAATTTGTTCATATTCTGTGGAATAATTTGACCATTTTTCAGTCGATCGTTAATATTACGTTTTAACATTATTTTATTTTAAAATATATTAGATTTTGCGAGTGAAAGTAAATTATTTTAAAGATATATTTAATTATTCAACGAGAACAATGGAAAATCATTAAAATATGTTTTAAATTATTAAAAAATGCTTTATATATATTAATTTTTGATTAAACCCAAACGGTAATAAAAAATGCTTGAAATTGTAACTTGCCAGAATTTAGTTATCCAAAAACTTTTTGAAATTTATAATTTATTTCTTATGGGTCTTAGACATTTAATGTTTTAATTCGTAAATAATCCAGAAAACGCCGATTTAAACTGAATATTTATTGTTCGATGGAAAATACTGAAACATATTTGTTTGTAAACTGCAAGCAGTCGACTGTCGAAATAAAATCATACTTTTAAATTAGGGATCGACAACCTTTTTACTTACGCGCACCATATTTTAATATTTAAAATAAACATTAATAAAAATACAATTTTAACATATAATATTAATATATTTATAGATAGTAACAATCATATTATGAGTTTCATATTGCGAACTAATTTTTAATAAAATATATTAACAGGGGAAATTTAAAAATTTAAAAAAAATTATTGATTCTTTAGTGTAAACAATTTTATAAATATTTAGTTTCTAGTATGATTTTTTAGGTTGAATTTTTTCCTCTAATTCGTGTACATACCGTTTCATATAGGTTGTTAATATTCTTAAAACTGTAATACGTGATTACAGTTTTATGTATTACGTCGTTGAATCGTGAACAACATTTATTTTTTTTGAATTTTAAATATTTGATGAGTTTAAGTATTGACAATGTGAGAAGCTCATAGCTTATAATCGGAAATATATCGTTCTAAATATCGCCATCGTAAAAATAGTCATGATTTTATTTTATTAAAACATAAAATTAAAATCTAATCATCATGATATATATTTGGAGAGCCGCAGAAAAAAGTTGCGTGGGTTGCCGGTATTTGCTTTAAATAACAATAAAAGTTTTCATAAATTACTAGGGACGACTGGCATATCACAATTTAATTTTTGGTCACCTCTTATGGCCCAGTAGTATATTTTATTTAAAAAATACGCTTTTCGAGGTTGTTAAAAAAATTGTTTTTTTAATTTTTTTTAGTCATTTCAAGCTCTTGCAAAAGTTTACATGACATCGAAATTGTTTAATTAACTTCGATAATAAAATAAGCACATCGATAGACGTGCATCAATTAAAACTTATTACACAAAGAATAAAAGTAAAACAAATCTTAATATAGAGAAATTCTTTCTTTTTTTTCTCAACAAAAACATACATATAATTTATTAACTTAGAAATAATAATTTGTTCGTCAGGCTTGTATTGTTCAATTTCTTATTGTTTTATGTTCTACGGTTTATTTACTTTATATGCCTATGCTTTTAATAATATTTATAATTCATTGCACCAACTCATTAGTGAATTTTTCGTCAAAAATTCCGTAAATTAGTGTTTTCTTGATTTAATGAATCCATTTTATCTTTACGCATACAATTTATATTCTACTATTGACTTATATATATAACTTATTATTGTAGTTAATTTGAACAATCTAATTTTTGACTTATAATACTTTTATTGACTTGTTATCTTAGCTGACACTTATTAAACTAAATAAAGAAACATGTAGTTTATGTATAGAAATAATAAATAAATAGATGCTTAGCCTGGAGTATCATATAATTTGTAAATTACGACCGGTTTCGAATTAAAAATTCATCATCAGATGTATACAAAGTCAATAAAATTATGCTGAATATGAAAAAATATAGAAAGGAATACGCTTAGAAAAACTGGTCGTTTCGCATAGATATAATTTATTTTAATAGGAAGATTATTTAAAATTAATTCTTATTAGACATAATTGTTAAGAAATACTAATGATTTTTTATAATTATACAATTGATTTTAAAAATAAAGTATTATATCAATTCCTTTTAGATATCAATAAATAATAATAGCCATCTCTAAGTAAAATGATCAATTTTCCTTGATGCATTCTTTTCTTTATTTTTTCATATTCAATTGCGATTTTATTCACTTACTATATACCTTATGATACATTTTTGATTCGAAAATGGTCGTACTTTACAAATATAATAATACTTTAGGGCTAACATTTATTTATTTATTTTCGTTTATAACCTATTTGTTTATTTATTTATATATTAATTTGTGAGAATTAAACATTAATTATTTTTTAACTATTTTATTACTTATTAAACATTTAATAAGTTTTATGTTTTATTTTTTTTTTATTATTATTAATATAAAGGCTTCAATTACAAAGATTATTAGCCTATAATTATAAAATGTTAGTTTTACAATATAAAATATGACATTATTTTATTATTATAGGAATACAATGTGAAACATTATAATATTTAAAGTTTTTTATCTAAATCTATTTTTTTGAAAAATTTAAAAATGTTGCCGGAGTTATGTTGAATGAGGGCTTCTTCGAGTGATCATGGATTATAGAGAAGCAAACGTGAGGTTGAGGATTTGGGGCAGTCCATAACAATATGTGCCATTGTAAGGGAAATATTACATGTGTCACACGAGGGGGGGGGGGGTTGATTAGTTATCAGATATGAGTGAGTAATATGGGAATGGCCTATTCTGGATCTGTTTATGATTATCTGTTCTCTCCTTGATGCGTTCTCTGGATATGCCCATTTGGATACAGTTTTTTTTGTGTTTCTGAGTTTGTTGCTGGAGGGAATTGAATCTCAGTGATTTTGTCATATTTTTATAATCCGTTTATGGGCTTCATTCGTGAGATCTTTAATTTTTTAGTAGTTATAATATTTTTTGTTTATTTTTCTTATATTTTCGTTGATGAAGAACAATTAGTATTGCATCACAAGTATACTGTCTTTACTGTTAGTATGGAGAGTACTGTGGAGGTTATCAATAATCAGAAAGTTTAAAGTTCCTCTGAATGTAATCATTTGAATATTGTGCTTCTGATTTATGGAATATCAACTCAGAATGTCTATTGTCGTTTACAAATATGTTTGGTAACTGATATCAACTACATTCGAATTCATATTCATTTTAAAGCAATTGTTTTCTTCAAGATAAACTTTGAATGAATCTTTTCTTAGTTATTTTACGTGTTGTACATTTTTTGGTTTATCCTTCTATTATAAATTATTCTCTTATCGGACAATTAAAAAATCTATTTAAAACTTAGAAGTATGATGAAAAATTTTTGAACAAAAAATTGATGGGGAATTAAAATTTGCGAAGGTAAAATGTAAACTTTTGACAGAAATTTTATTTTTATTTTTTTTTGCATTGATTTCATTTTTTTTGAGAGTAATTCACAAAAAGATATTTTACCGTAGCATGTTTTTTCAAACCGTTATTAAATCTATTACATTTTTTTATTATCCGATAAGAGAACAATTTATGATTCAAATAAATACTTAATATTTAAAATTGTCGATTTACTTAACTGCATGCTATTATTTTTAAGACGCACTTTGGTATTCAACATTATTCAACTGTGAAAATAATTTTAAAAAATTATTCATTTACATTTTTACTGTTTTCAAATTAATTTTTGCATGTTCTTATATTTTTCTATTAGATCTTGTGATTCTTATAATAATTATTCATGATTAATGTTTTGTTTCTTTTTTTATTATGCAAACTTTAATGCAATTTTGAAGAATGCATTTATAATTTTATTATTACGCAGTAGATTATGAATAGGCTTACCGTAGTTTCAAGGTTGATATTTGATGAAAACTAATTGAAACAAGCAATTTACATAAGAACCGGATGCTTCCTAAAGGATATGCAAAACACTGTTTATGGACCATAGGTTAAGAACTATCATTAACTCATATTATTAAAGGATGTCTTTTTGTGTAAATATATTTTGTGTAATATATTTTATTTGTTATATTGCTACCAAATTGTTAATAGTTATTCGATGAATATAAAAAATACTAGAACTAGAACTAAAGAAACAATATTAAGATTTAGAATCTTAATAGAAAAGCAAATATCTCGAAAGAAAATAACTTACTTAGCCTTTATAGATATCGAAAAAGAGATTTTTGTCATCAAGAAAAATTAATAGAGGAATAAAGAAGTTATTTCTAAAAACTTTTATATAGAATGTCGCTCTTTATGTCTGCGATACTTAGGTTATGAATGAAATGGAAAAAAGATCTTTTAAAGCTTTCGAAATGTGGTGTTGGAGACAAAATGGAAAAAATAATTGGGCAGAAAGAATAACAAATAAAGTTGTACTAACTCAAGTAAGAGGAACAAGATCCATATTGAATGTAATAAAGCGAAATAAATGCACAGAAGTTAAACTACGTATTCTTTGTTATAGTCATCAAAACTGTGTTAACTATAAGATACTCGTATTTTTTTTATTTATTTTTTTTTGCACAGTATTATGTAACCGATTTTATCAAAACAATCTAACTTAAATAACACTAATACGTACTCTACGTCAAACTTCAAATTATGTAATCATGATGTATAATTTTTATTATGTGTGCGTGTTACACAAAATAAAAAAAAAGTCTTATATGTTAATGCATTGTTATTGCTATAATATTCTAAAATATTCTAGGAGGAGTGTCCTGTCATCACGTTGTGGCGAGTACATGTACTTTATTGCTCTAATTACAGTATCTAGTTTTTACATTACACGTAGTCAAGTATATCATTTAAGTTTTTTTTTAGCATTTCAGTAGCATAATTTTATATCAATATTTTTCTTTAAGTATCTTATAAAACAATTTGTTGTTTTTCTTTTAGATCAATTATTTTATCAGCATTTCAGTCAAATTGGCTACAGCATAGGTATAAAATTGTTTTGAATATAAAAAACTAGCAAGTTGTTTGAAGTTGAATTCATAAATTTATACAGTTATACTGTTTTACAATAAAATTGATACTTTTAAGATTATAAAGATTAAAGACTAAAACTTAATAAAAATATTTAGTATATGATTTACATTCATTTTATTTTTATTACATTCAGCAAAGCGATACAATAAAATATCTAATAGAAAATCGTTGAATTTTCACAACAATTTCACATTTAGAAATTTAACTGTATCTGATTTAGTCCATTAATATTAATAAATAATTAATAATGATTTTTGTTAGTAATTAAATCAGTAAACTAAACTTACATAAAACATAAATTGCTATTATTTTTATCTTGAAATATTTTGGACAAAAGAGTGTCGGAAAACTATGAATTACCTATGCTTTATCAAAGCTTATTATTATTATTATTACTATTATTAAGTGTATAATAATAATTAGAGCGTGAATTTCTATGCAATCGCATATTTTTTTCCTTTCAATATTTTTGGATTTTTGTCAGTTATCTCCACGAATCATCATAATTCATATTTTTTTCCTTTCAATATTTTTGGATTTTTGTCAGTTATCTCCACGAATCATCATAATTTGAAGCTAATGGTGAAATTTTTTTTGCATATTTCTGCATATTTAGATGTTATTGCATATTTTTACATATTTTGGGAAAATTCAAAATTTATTGCATATTGAAATAAAAATTTAAAAAAAAAATGTATAAAATAATATTTTGTCAAGTAGAAAAATTAAAAATAAATTTTATAGTCACTAAATAATACTTTATATAAATATTTAGTTATAAAATAAATAATCGATTACGACGTAAACTTAATCGCTCTTGCTGTGTCAATCGATTATCGACATACCACTTGCTTCAAATATGCCCCAATAACTTCGGTTGACATCAAGGGTTCGTTTTCAGTCTTTAAAAATATGTTAACCGATAAATAAGACAGCTTCACAGAAGATAAACTTGAAATGCATATGATTATTTATTTTAATAATATATAAAATTTTAAAAATAAATTAAGTTCAGAAAATTCCCTAAATTTTTTTGTATCAAGTATTTAAGTAATTAATTTTTATAAGTTGAATTATAAATTTTAAAAAAATAAAAAATCCTTGCATATTTTTTGCATATTTTCATAACTTTGACTGCATATTTTTTACGTATTTTCATGATTTTGACTGCATATTTTTTGCATATTTTCATGATTTTTACTTATTATATGGCATATTTCGATACTTTTAAGTGCATACAAATCCGCGCTCTAATAATATTAATTAAATATTAGTACACCTAGGATATATATACTATTTAATTAATATTTTGTTTTCTTCAAAATTAGTTACCTACATAAATACTCGATAATTAATAGACTTTTAGTTATTATTAGAGTAACGCGATGCATGTAATAAATAAATCGCCCAGTAAATCGAAAGTTTTATACGTCTTCTCTATTATTCAATCAACATATTGACACCACAGTTGCATGAGCTCTTAAATTAGTTCTTAAACTTATTAAATGTAACACTAAACACTTCACATCAGTGAACTGTCTTCGTTCTCTCTACATTAGTACGATCAATTCTTTAGTATGTGTCGTGGTATGGCCCTCATACCTTGCAAAACACCAGCATAAGCTAGAGCAGGTGAAAAATCGCTACTTTACTTAGCGTTCGTGAGTAAAACTGACGTGTCTCCCCATGACTATGTCCGACTACGTAATATGTTTAACATTCCATCTCTCTCTTCACGGCGTGTCAATATAGATAAACACTTCTTAACTTCCCTTCTAAATGGTACCTTTGACGTTCCCAATTTACTTGCTAAAATTCCATTAAAAGTTCTTACATGTGGAATACAAAACCTAGTGCAGTTATATGTCCCGCACCACTCTACGGTATATGACTACAATCTTCCACTACACAGAATGCTTTGAGTTACAAATCTAAATGTATCCTAGTCGTTTTGACTAGTTTTGGTCGTTTTGGTCTTCAATTTGAGATACTTGTTTAAGCGATAGACCATTGATGGAATATGTTCTATTGGTGGGCAAACGTGATTTAGTGAAGATAATTGAGTGACATTTGTCAAGATTAAGTACGAGACCAAGACGATCTACCCAGGTAGAAAATAGGTTAAGCTCACTCGGTAGAACAGCCTGATCAGCCGTATTTTCCATTTAGATTTTTGATAAATTCTAATAGAATGTTGAATAATATGCCCGATAAAATAGAGATATGTATAAATATGCCAAATATACAAAAACATGCAAAATAAGATTTCACATATTTAACCGTGGTACCTTGAAATGGATTTTTATGTCATCTCGCATTAAATATAACTTTGCAAGATTGATATGCAAATGCATGAACTTACGAGTCCTGATAATCACCATTGCCATGATATTAGTTTTTAAATATTGTAATTTTTTCATAAGTATAACCTGTGAATAATGATCGTATGCAATTCTAAAAGTAATGTCAGGTGAACTGTAGTGAATGAATACACATATTGTCAAAATTTTTTCATCTATAATTTTATAGCAAAAGCAGCACAATATATTTATTAAGTTACCAATAAATATTTTCTATTACAATGGAAAACTTATTAATTACCATCTTGAATATTAAATAAAACAACTTTTTTTTTGATAATCATGCTTAGGTATGTATATGGTATGCATGAAAATACATCTAAAACAGAACATGAAAAACTGACGATTTTGTGTCCACAATAAAAAATTGCGTAAAAAGTAACATCGTTATTAGTATCATTATTTAGTATAGAATGTACATCATACATTATCCATATGTTTATTATGAAATTATTAAATTTAATAAAGGTAATTTTTTTTTTTAACGAACAGTAATTTGTTGGGTAGACGGCTAGTTCGAAAAGGTAAAATAAAATATAGAAAATTTGGTATTATTAACTGTTGCCACGATTACAATAAAAAATACATTTATCCTAGCATATAACTTCCATAATTAATCCGTTCTCAAAATAATGTAGTTTCATAGAATAATAAATATTTATAAGTATAGTATAGTTATTAAGCACATTTGCCTAAAAAATTGTCACTTTTTGGTTTAAAGTCGGATTAGCCTATAGTAATTTATTATTATTTTAAGAGGTATTAGTATAAATTGAATAAACCCAATAAATACTGTTTATTGTTACGTCAACATTATTTATTTATAAACAACTTTTCTTGAAATATGATGTAACTGCATTACCAAAGTATATGTATTTATT